CTTTAAATCAGGGGTTGAGGCATCGAAAGTAATTAAGTAACGAGCTGTTTTATGGATAGTAACTGTAATATTATTACTGCAACGTGTTCCTGCCCAACACTGCACACGAGCCGCATGTTCTCTTTGAGACGGACAGCGAGCAGCGACTCACGATCTTGTTCTTGAAGACGTCCAGCAGGCCCGACAGGTGTGTGTACTGACCAGGAGCTTTACGCAGGTGCACCATCTCGAAGTCTGAGCGGACCCCGGGCCCCTGACACTCACCCGCATACACCTTCCTCCACTTCTGCTGGATCTGTACCAGCAGCGGCACCTGACTGAACACACAGAGCAGAGAGAGAGATTCAACACACACACACACACACACACACACACACACACACACACACACACGAGTCTGCAGAAACACACGGCTCAACAGCGCCACCCAGTGCACTGAAGCCACAGCACACAGCTTTTACAGGGAAATCTCATTTATAAAGAAAGTACTAGTTTTCATTCGATCACACAGAGCATCTCTCAGTACCCATAACTCATATCACCGTATTAATAATTACAGCATCCATCGACCGCAGTGATTCTCCAGAGTAACTAACGCTTCACACACACTAAAAAATACAACTTTCGAAAAGTTCTACTAACAAATGTAAAAAAGTAGCCTGAACAAAGAATGTTTAGTAGGAGAAGTCAGTTTAATTTTTTGTGCGAACCGAACAAAAATACTCCAAACGTGTCGCTAGCAAAAGTTGTTTTGTTTACCTTACTTAGATGCTCAAGTATTTGTTCACAACATATTCTTTTCAAATTGAGTCATCTGAACAAACAATTTTACGTGGAACAATACTGCACAAGTTCCCAGCATGCATTGCAGCTTGAAAACATTTGTTAATAATTACTAAAATATTATCATTGTTTTAAATTTTACTGGCTTAATTTATGCTGCTGCTGCTGTTGTCACTGTCAGTTAGCTGTCATGTGGATCAGAGTTCATATTTTTACTGATTTAAAATTTGTTGATCCTCACCATGGTTGAGAATCATGTGCTGAGGTACTGTATATGTGCATCTCATTGCAAATCAATACATTTGTCTATCAGCATAAATGTTTGCCTTTAGTTTAAAGAGGCCAATACTACCCATATTATGTAGAAGGATTTGAAAATAAACAAATCTTAAAGTAAGATTAATCTTTGGTTGCTCTGACAGATCTTTTAACACTCAGATTCCCAGCATGCATTGCAGCTTGAAAACATTTTATGTTATTTATTATTAAAATATTATCATTGTTTTACATTTTACTGGCTTAATTTATGCTGCTGCTGCTGCTGCTGTTGTCACTGTCATGTGGATGAGAGTTCATATCTTTACTGATTTAACATTTGTTGATCTCTGCATTTATTTGATCAAAACACAGCAAAACAGTGAAATATTATTGCAATGTAAACCAGCTGTTCTCTGTGTGAATATCTGTTAAACAGTAATTGATGTCTGCGATCAAAGCTGTATTTTCAGCATCGTTCCTCCAGTCTTCAGTGTCCCATGATCCTTCAGAAGCGTGTGTGTGAGTGTGCGTGTGTGTGTGTGAGTGTGTGTGTAGTGTGTGTGTGTGAGTGTGTGTGCGCGT